TATATAATTTATTGTGTGATCCTTTAAAAGTCAAAGTAAATTTGAATGAATGTTAAATTGACTTTCAGACGTAATAAATATTCCGGAAAAAACAAACATTGCAATTTATCATGGCAGCAATAACTTTTTTATGTGTTTTTTTTAAAAGTCAAACTACATAAAAATCTCCAATAATAAATTAGCTAAATAAACTAAATTTTAATACTTTATATATTGCCTAATGTCACAGTGAAAAGAAATAATGTAGTATTGGTAATAATAGTAAATGAATCAATAATAGAAATAAAATTCATAGAAACTACAGTACTCAATCATAAACATTACAAATATATTAGAAAATAGAAAGTTGTATGAATACTACACCAATAAACTAAAGTTTAATATTTTACACATTTTCAAATGCCACAATGAATAGAAATAATATAATAATAGTATAATAAATAATAGGAATAAAATTCATAAAAGTAAAATACTCGATCACAAACATGACAAATATATTAAAACAGAGAATATGACAAAATATAACATGTTATTATATTTGTATATAAACTAAAATATATTCTCATTGAAATTTGCAGTGGAAGTCAGGACGTGTTGAAGTTTATGATAATAATGCTAATGTTTACAATGAGAAAGAAAATTCTATTCCGTAAGGAATTCAGTAACAGATTGTATCTCTTTTCGCTGACTCATATTGTTGATGGAAGAATTTTCAATTGCCTTTCTATATTACAGAGAAGAAGATTACATTCCGTAAAGAATAATAACTGATTTGAGGCATTTCTCTGTCTGACTCATAATTTCAGTTGCTCAGAATTCTAAATTGACTTGCTATTACAAATTTGTGTAGAATGAATTTCTTGTAAATTGTATGTACATTTTCTATATTGAATTTTTTCCAACGTTTATTCAGCAAGTAAATGTTGATTCATTCTTGAAACTCTAGGGACTGAATGGTCATGATGTACTCTGCCCCTAGAGGGCAGTATATAAAGTTTGATTACAAAATATGTGTCAATATTTAAAAAGCACTTGTAGTTATTATTATTATTTTTGGTGCTGATATTCATTGTTTTCAATTAGTAAAACAAGTAAAATGCATTGTTTTAGTAATAAAATATGCTATTTGAATGTTACATTATGTATATTTATTTTGGGACAATGTCATAGTTGTGATGTTTTGCCTTTACCTGATGTGTTATCTTATTGAATATTCAGTGCACATCGAAATAGCATTGGAGTACCCGCTGCTACTTGGGGATTGGATTCAACACTAGCCAATAAGCGCAAGCTTGGTGGTCTAGTGGTTATTACACCAGGCTAGTTATCTTGAGATCGTGGGTTCGATTCTCACCCGAATCACTTAAGTGAATTTATTCTATGTGGGAACGTACTGAGTATTTAGTCAACAACAAGTCAGACAGGGCTAAAGATCATTCTATAATGAAATAATATTATAGTAATTAGATATATATTATATAGCGCGTTATGCTGAGAACTATCTACGCTTCTGATTATTATTTCCCGGTTCGTAGGATCAAACACCTATGGATGAAACACATATACTTAGTTCCCTGGTGGATTATTCCACAGTGTAGCATCTAATCAGCACATTGCATTCCAACCTACCAGCTACTCCACTGCTTTACAGCATGTTTACTTAAGTGGAATAAGTTTCAGAGTTCCTTTGAGTATTTTCCTACTCTCATTCCAGGCAAACAATGTACATGTATGGCAAATTAGTATTAATATACAGCTTAAGCATGTGAACTCAATGAACAGGGGAAAACTTACAGCGCTTTGTATCTGTAAAGAAAGGCGCTATATGAATGACCAGATTAGATTAGATTAGATATTAATTTACTTTAGGGATTAAGGATTGACATTGTACGGACTATGGGAAGAAATAAATTAAGTACAGTAGATAGTCAAGATATTATAATTATCACAGTACTTTTAAGTTAAAAGTACTATTGTTTGAATTTGGCACATCTTGGTACAGCAGTTTTTGGTTTTTTTTCATTACTTTTGCCTATCCACTACAGCAATTTACTGACTTTTGGAGAAAGAAATGATTTAAAAATTGGACAATAGGGTAAGTGAAGTATGTAGCATAATTGGGGAGAAGTCAAGCAACGTACAGGCCTGCATGTCGGCTGCAACGTTACAGGTTTTTATGCCTCCTTATATTGTGTGGTGATGCTGGGAGACTTATACTTTCATTTCCTCTCGCTTTTTTCTGCTAATTGTAAACATTACGGTGTCAAAAGAAGTGGAATGATGAGTGGTTGAAATGGCAGCTGTTGCTGTAATAGTGGTCACTATAGCAAAAATTTGACCACTCGGGAATAGGAAAACAACACGATGATCACAATTGAATTAAATTAATTATAATAGTAATGGCACCATCCACATGTGGAAGAAAGAATCCAAAAGCTTACAGTGTTATTTTGAACCACTGGTAATGCCTATTTTTGACACTTGATCTACCCACACACTGATTGAATCTCACACTTAATGTAATATCAAATTCCAGACTAATATAAAGGAGGCAATATTTGATTTAATATTTTGCCCTTTGTTAGAACATCATTCAAATGATTAAACAAATTTGTCAGATGGAGACCATTAATCAAAGAACGAGAAGTTAACTAACTGATCTTTTAAATAAAATTAATAAATAATCTTTGATGGATGTGTGTTTGTGACCAGTACAGAAAAAAATAATTAAAGGAATTAACAAAAGACTAGTATTATAGTTGTTCTAGTAAGCCTAGTCTCTACTTTACATAATATGATTTTACATAATAGTGTTTTTCACTTGCAAAAGCCTAGAATGATATAAATGTGTACCTTGGCTGACTTACAATTACTTTCAGTAAAAAAAGTCAAATATTGGCTTTAAATTGGGCTTGCAGTTTTGAAAATAGCTTTTTGATTGACCATCTATACAAATTAAAAAGGGCATGTTGTCATTTTTAAAAATTATTATCACTTTCTTGAAGTTTTAACCTTTTTAATTGCCAATAATATCTATAAAAATTGATGCAAGATAAGTATCTTTATAAAATGGTCAATATTTTTATTGCTCACTGATATTATATTACTGTATTTGTTTTCAATTAAAAATTACATTTTAAATTACTAAACTTTACATTTTTTTTTGCATGAACCCAAAATTGACTGGTAAATTATGTTGTAAATATCTGTAAGTTAGCAATTTTTTTAAAATGTTTTTTTAGTAAGATTAAATAATAAGTTTTATTCTGTTAAGTACCTGGAATTGATGTATGATTGTTTTATACTAAATATTTTTTTTCCCAAAATACTTGAAAAAAAGAAGAAAGGAAATTAACCACCTGGGCACCTGGTGTTTCATGGTCAGTTTGAATTGAATTGGAAGCAACTTCCTTTGTATCTATGTTCAGGATGCAACGATTTAAACACCTCACTGATACACACTACTACTATTAGACTTCACATGCATAATTCATTATTTGATACAGTTTGGTTGCACACATCTCAAGTTCAATATGAACTACTAGAAATACTCGATGATAATTTCTCTCATGTGATATAAAATCCATGTGCATGCATGCGTAGAAGTTTGTGAGGTAACACGTTGGCAACGTAGTAGTCAATTCAAAATGGTGAACTATATTGAAACTGTGCAATGGTAAGCTTAGGCTTGTCTTTCGGTTGCCTGTGATTTCTGGACGGGCTACATGAAGCATTTAATTCTCCCTTTTGGCAGAGAATGTCTCTATAATTCTGTTTAGCATTGTCATAACGAGAATGGTTATAATAAATAAAATAATAGTATTGTATAATCTTTCCATACAGATATAATTTATAGTATCAAAAAAATGTTTTCAGCCCCTGTCGTGGAATAATGTGCACAAGAAGCTACTATAACGCCTTTTTACGGTGGCTAGGTAGTCACGAACCATGTGTATACGCAATTTGGCACAATGATGCTGCGAGTTATTGTGTATTCTTTTACCTCTACCAAAAAGACACATTAATTTTTACCTCATTAGTAAATAAGTATTTTGATATTGTTTTTAAATACCAGTCTTAGGGAGTGGAGTTTTAGTATTGAGAAAAAAAAAACCCTGGTGTTTTAATTATTCAGAACTTTGGAATTATAAGACAAGCATGCCATGCTGTATATTGTTATTTCTTCTTTCTGTTATTTCATTATTTATATTATTTGATTTGTTTTAGGATAATGATATCCATTTACTATTACTTTTTTATTTAGTGTAAAATTTGCATTGCCTATTAATATGCATTTGTCTTTTTATAAATTTGATATGTATGCCTTTTAATATTTATGAATTCTTTATTTAATATGATATTTTTACATAGAGTTTTTGTACCATTACTTTAAATGTTTTTTATTTGGAATTATTTGAATTTCAAAGGAATTTTGTAAAGATGTCGGGTACAATTTAGTGATTTTCTTTTTAATCAATGTCTCATTTAAATGCTTTGAACAATTTCTAGGTGTACTTCCCAAATGATGTATATTCATTTGTAAATAAGAAATTGAATTAAGTTCGCTACTAGCAATCCATGGCTCGTACTCATGTAAATATATGGATTAAATGCTTAGGAGTTACTTTACAGTATTGTTGTATTATATTCTAATTAACATAGCTGGAATAGTCACCCTTCATAATTAACATTATGTTGTACCCCTTCTAAGTACAGTAGATCTCGTAATATTAAGGGGACACCTTTGGATCCAAAAAAAATGTGTCCTTTTAATAGGGGTGTCCTCTGAGTAGGGATTGGCCATAGTGTTAAAAGACTTCATGGCTGAAAAATTCCCCCTTAATAGAAAAGCAGTGTCCCAAACGAGGGTTTCTACTGTAGCTTCAATGGATCCAATTAACTTTACTATACAGTACTCTATTCAATCAATCAATCAATCAATCAATCAATCAATCAAATAAGCTTTACTATACTATGTTGTGTCACTTTTCTTTTTACAGATGAGGGCAAGGAGGAATTGATGAATAGTATAGCAAAATTCCAAGGCAAACGAATGAATGAACAGAGAATGCACGTAGCCTCTCTGCCTGGTCTGCGTGGAAAGGATGAGGAACTCCTTAGCAAGTTAAAAGAGGCATCGTCAGTTCCCGACGACGACTTTTTTGACATGTTGATACGCTGTCAGGTTGGTATTTGCAGTTGGATCAAGACTGTTTGATAATCTTATTTATCTAGGATCATCAAGCGATCCTATGTATACAATGTAGTGATATCTTTCGAGTATGTCTTACTGTCGTTAGTCGCCTTAGGCTGTGTTGCCACGGCAATTGAGAGATAATGTTATTAAAATAATCAGATAAGAAGCTACTGTTTGCGCATACACTCGATTTAGATTGATGGATCACAGTGCTTGCAGTCTAAGTAAAGTTTGACCTTTATTTCTATTTACAAGAATTTCAAGGAAACTACTTCTACAAAAGTAATATTTTACCTTACAAGTGGGAAATTATACGCAGATAGGAGTCGGAGACGAAATCAGCAACATAGGTTGACGTGTTTATGAAACAAATATATTTCTTAATTGAAAAACATATATTTCGTTCTGTCTTTAAGACTTCATGAGCATTAATGAAGTTGCAGAACATTTATAATAATATTATTATTATAATATATATGATTATTATGCAGATACAGATTTCATTAATGATGGTAATGGTAAATGTTCTGTAGCATAGAGAAGAACAGTTTACTATTGTTTTACCTAGTTTTATGGAACCAACAATGACTGGTATCAGACCTCCGCATTGTGCACTAATAGTAGCGAAAAGTTGGCCTCAGTATAATGATGGCATAATGAACTATAATCAGATTATTTAATCGCATTTGAATGAATGGGATAGTTTATCAGATAATTTTGATTCGGTTTGCTGTCCATCACGTCCTTCTTCCAACTGAAATCTTTATTAGGATATTATCAAATTGGTTTTAAACTATTATTTTATGCTGTGGAGCCATAGTACTATCTAGCAGACTTCCTATAGTATTCACGTAAGTGGATTAATAATAATAATTAAGATTGGTATAAACAAAAATAAAATTCACATTTTTATAAAGATCTGAACTAACAGTAAAACTATACCCCACTGGACACCATTCCATGACTTCCATGGTATCGGGGCAATGATTTGCAAATGTAATTGTAAAAGTTAAGGATTAAAAAGGTGACTCTTAAGCTGGGCATGCACGGCATCGTACGACAAATCTCACTCTGATCCTTGTGAACGTTAGACGACGCAATTCCGTGTGCGGATTGTCATTAAAAACGATCCATTACGGACGTGTCGTGGCGTTACCGTTGGGCACAGTGTGTGTCTGGTTTAAGGAAAACTCTTGGATGAGAATAGGCAGGCTATTCCACACCTTTGGTACAGCAACAGAGAATTCTCTTTCACCATACAGTATGTTTAAATGGATAAACCTATCGAGGATAGATTCAGATGCCGATACCTTTATTTTCACAACACACAAAATATCATACTATAATAATAATAATAATATAATATAATAATAATAATATAATATTTCACTTTTTAAGAGAAATGAAATTTTGGCTTATTTAAAGATTCCTACAAACAAAATTATTTATGAAGCCCGATGAAATTCCTTCAACACAAATTAATGTTGTCATGAAATTCTTCTTCCTTGTTGCAAAATGTAATACAAACAAATAGGTAATATAAATAGGTAACACACTTTTTTATATATATGAATAGAATGGACATAAATATATTTAGTTAACAAATAAAGCTAAGTTTGATTGGGAGATGTGTGATTAAGATAGGTTGTATTTTTTAAAGATCTGTTACATACACAGATGACTGTTGGCATGAAATTCTTTTGTTTCTGCTAGACGAGTCATGAACTCTTCTGAAATTGCCAATAATGAGTATTGTATTGCATAATCCCTTCAAATTTCCTAATCAAAAAATTGTTCTATAAATTGTCAGGTTGGTCAAATTTCATACCAATTCTCTTAGTAGCCATCTTAATATCTCTGTTTTAATAGTTGTTTAGAAATTTTCACAGAGCTCAGTATGAACTGGCATACAATGATGATGATGAACTTTAGGCAAACGTAATTCTCACAGCATGTGAGGGAACCATGTTAGCTAGTGAAGCTAGATTGAAAGATGGAATTAACTAGCTTTGGATATATATACATTTACAGCCAGCCTAGATTAATTTCTATACAAGCTAAAAAATTAAGTAGTCATTTTTTTTACATTTTTTGACAAGAATAAATCATTTAGGGGAAAATAAACTTGATAGAATACAGTACTACTTTACATAGAATAATTCATTGAAAATTTTTCTCTACTACTATAATGTAATAATGCTTTGTAGAAAAAAGATATTAATCCTTAGTATGAGCTGTGTTACCTATCATTAAGCCTGTTGATTTATGAATTGCTATAGTAATACCACAGTGGTTTGTAGTGTTTTTTTTTTTACATAATGATAATAATAATAGCAGAAATTATAATGTGCCAATTCGGAAGTGTATCAAAGGCACTTAAAACAACTAAACAAGATATGTACTTAAAGAGCACAAAAAAAACTTTGAAAAGTACAGTAGACCCTTAAATTTTCTGGTACAATCAAAGGATGATTGTATTAAAAGTGTCTGTAAATACATGAAAACTGAATGACTTTGATCTATGTTTTATTAGAAGTGTTTTAATTAGCAATACAAATTTTAATTGAAAACAAAATCTAGGTTTTTCCTGTATTTTCCCACAGGTAATACATGAATATTTTTAAAATTCAGATCAGAATTAAACATTTTTTTTTCGGTTGTAATGATTGGATTAATATAATGTCTGGATTAACATAATGACATTATTTTAAGAATACTTAACATAAATTTAATGTGCTCTTCATCATAATTATTGTATACATACAGTTCACAGAAATAGATGTTATTAAGAAGTCTGTAATTTCCAAATATTGAATTAATATGTTATCGGAAGTTGCTGAAACAACTTGCTTTCTATAAATAAATTTTTCTTTATTGCAGTAGTTTTCTTAATTTATAAATATTAATACATCTAAACTATATCAGTTATCTTGTTTTCCTATTGACTCAATGTAAAAGCCACAGCAACCCAATTAGCTTTCCAGGGAAATAGAAAAGAAAAATGATCATTGATGCTGTATTCATTTGGTATGTGTTCCTGTGACCTAGTTTTCACTGGCATCAGGGATGTGCAATCTAGTTACATATTCATTCAGGCATGGTTTTCACTGGTCTAAGGCATTTCAAGCAAATAGTCATCCAATCTGCCTGTTTGTTTTTGATTGTCCTGTGGTGTTTGAATTTCAAAAGTACAGCACTAGACTCACCCTGCACTAATTTAATACCTTTAATATTGGTATGTAAAAGCACAACCGTCACGTTAGATAGTAGGTTTAGAATATTTAGGAATTTTTTTTTTTTTTTTTTTTGTAGTTTTTTAATATTATATAAATTATTTGAAATTTTTTAACAAATATATAATGTTTAAACTTATTTGTATTAATGTACTTGTTTAATAATTAACTATTACAGTTATATAATTAAATTTAATTTCAATTCAATTTTTGTTATTGCTACCATCTTGGGCCAGTATCCGCACAAGCACAACGAAACACAAAAAAATTACAATGCAATGGTAACTATGCATCATAGGGTATGGACGTCACTCCACTAAAGTTGAATGACCTGCATACCCCACCCTAAATGAACTATACTTTACATACCAGTAATGCTTTTTAAAACAGAATACAGTTGTCAGAGAAGGAGTTGGTCTTCATAAAAAAGAAGATGCCAAAGAATTTTATTGACATGCACAATTCTTAAATTTTGTACGAAGTTATAATAAGAATATAAGAACCTTAAAAACAAAATGAAAAATAAGGTAATGAAGCAAATAACTCGCAGCATCACTTTAGTGAATTGTGTACTGGCATGGCCCATGAGAAAGGTGGGCAATACCACCCGGGCAAAAACCAACCACAATAGACTATACCATTGTTAAAGTGGCCCCACCACCCACCCCAAATAAACAATGGTATAGTCCATTGTGGGTGGTTATTGTCCAGGGTGGTTTTTGTCTGATTTCCGGCCCATGACTTTTGTATTGATCTTGAACCAGCTTTAATGCTAATGCTATATAGTTAGTGGCCACTCGACTCATAAAAAAAATACCTATATTGATAGTAAAAACTATTTACAAGATATTACATCATCGTGGAATTAAATTTGTACAATCTGACTTAGTTAAAAATTTGGATGATGTCAACCAATCAAATATACTATACATCTCTGATGTGAAGGTCAATCAAATAATGTTGACTCTTAATTCTAATTATAACAATTAAACTCCTAATTGGAATTATATCAATTAAACTCATCTAGCTATTCTTCCCTGCCTATAAGATAGAGGAATAATAATATACCTTATTAGAGTTTTATCGTGCTATAATGATGCGATGCTATAATGATATAATGATGTTTGATTGAAATAGACTGGTAATTCTAGATATTGTTTCTTTATAAATGTATTCATGCATTCAGTGAGTTCTGTCTGTAGTATTAGGCTCTGTCCAGGCTACCAAATTTTATGTGACAAGTTTGTGTGATGTAATATAATATATGGGCATAATGATGTCATGTTATACCCATATATGGGTATTATGATGTATTATGATGTCATGTTATACCCATATATGGCCATGATGATGTCATGTTATACCCATATATGGGCATGATGATGTCATGTTATACCTATATATGGGCATAATGATGTCATGTTATACCCATATATGGGCATGGTAATGTCATGTTTTACCCATATATGGGCATAATGATGTCAGGTTATACCCATATATGGGAATGATGATGTCATGTTATACCCTATATGGGAATAATGATGTCATAATATACCCATATATGGGCATGATAATGTCATGTTATACCCATATATGGCCATGATGATGTCATGTTATACCCATATATGGGCATGATGATGTCATGTTATACCTATATATGGGCATATCACATTTATTTGTCATATCAAATATGATAGTGTTTACAGAGCATTACTTGCTAGCATGGAAGTATGACATTGAGGAATTCAGTGTGAGCGTGATTTCTTCTTCTTCCTTTTCTATGGCCAACTGGAGGTTTTGGCCCAACGTCTTGTTATTGATTTTTATTCTCACTAGACAATCAGCTTATCAAAAAGGACCAGATCCCAAGGAAGAGCACTTGAGAGCAATGCCCTTCATAAAGAAAATAACAGTAATAGCAACAACAAAAAAAATAATTAAAAAATAATAACAATAATTATTTGGAACAACACACTTTATTTGTATGACTTTTTACCACTGAAAACAAATAAATTTACAACAAAAAAAAACCCTGTTATTCAACTAATATGCTAATTAATAAAAAAAATTACGTAACTAGTTTTGTCCACCGACGGAGGACGCTATAAATTGTAGGCCTATGTCAAGTGTAGCGTTTAAGGGATAGTGGTTTCATGGTGTCATAAATTCCTGTCTGAAATTGTTTTTAACTCACATTTTTGCATATTGAAATTAAAAAAGAAATGCTACAAGCTCACTCTTTATCATTATAATCAATTCTTTGGTTTCAGAGCTTTTAGTGCACAAATTTTCCAGTTACGAGCATTATATTATGATTAAATTTATTGTACTTCTAATTATAATTGATAATATTTTAATACATATTATAGATGTATGCCATACATTAAGTGGTGATTGTTTAGTGAAAGATTGGATTAATGCCTGAAAAAATTGCCTGATGACTGCAAAGCCAGAAGGCAATTTTTTGAATGCATCAATTCATCCAAGTATGAAAATTGTCTCTAGTGCAAGGAAATACATGTGTGTTAATTGCATTAAACACCTACCCTTGTCAACAACATATTCTTAGGCCTAGCCCTAGGTGCTTTAGGAAATGGCAGCAGATCTGTGGTTCAAAATCGTTTAGCCTCATCACATATCTAGGCCAAACCGAAGAAAATCTGATAAAGTATCATTGAGCTTTTAGAATAATAGCCCATTTTTGTTGTCTGTTTCTCTGTTTATTTCATAGAGTAGGAATAAATTGCCTTAAATACTGCTCTTTCATTAATTTTGTTCAGTTTCTTTCATTTTCTAGGTTCTACAATTTCTAAAGCCATTTTTAATATTGTAACTATGCCTTCCTTGTGCAAGCAGAGAGCTAAATATAGAAACAAAATAAATTTTTCATGATAGCTAATGTATAAAGAAATGCCCCTTGGCTTGCGCGCAAAAACTGTATAATAGTTGAACATTTATAAAGGTTTCAAGATAGGAAATTAATGTTGAAATGTAAAGTAATGATTAATAATAAACAGCCAGCACTTTACAGACAAGTGTGAGAATAACAAGTGTTTATGTGCACACAATGCACTTCTGGATATTTATTAAACTTATAATTGTTATTTATATTATGAGTACTAGTACAAGTGGAATATTGATGATTATCGACAGGTAGTACTTAAAGATTTACTGGAAAATAAACATGCTTTCCTTGTACAAAATGCACGTCTTCAGATATAATTATAAGAACACTTTGCCTACGGTGGTTGCTGTCCTCCACGTAAGAGTATGAATGGGTTCCTTGTAGCTATGAACATAAATGTTCTGATTATGGAATTCTCTCGCAGGTAGCTGGCTGTATATGTGTTTTGATAGATATTTGATCCGATCACAAGAGCATAAATGTGAAGTGCAAAGATTTCGTTGACAGGATTTGCTCTGCTCTACCAGACTGGCATATTAATTGTGGATTTTAGAATTTTGTTGATACTATTTTTGAAGTAAATTTACTCCTTCAAATATAAAATTATCTTTGTAATACAATTCAGGCTCATTTCTTAATTCATGAAATATTGATAATTTTTGTATGAAAATGAATATCAATATAAGTATAATTAATTATTTTTGATATACTTTAATTTATTTTTGATAAAATATTTGTTATATGAATCAATAAACATACCAGTAATGAAATGTTTTTCCTTCTTATCTATTTCTTTTGTATTTCATGAAAATAATTAAAGACTGTACATAGATTTTTTATATCAACAACTCATCTTTGTATAATCACATTTACTGTATTAATAATAATATTTATTAATGATTAAACAATTTTCTTTTAGGGTACAAGGATAGAAGATCAACGTACAGATGCCCCTGAACGCGTGCGAGCTCCCACTGTACCTGATGAAGACTTCTTCTCACTAATCTCTCGTGTACAATCACAGCGATTAGAAGAACAGAGGTGCGATCTTCCAGAGTCATTGTCACGCGATATGATTACAGATGAGAAATAGGTACACATCCTTCCTCGGTATCTATATGATACTTTGCAATTTGTAAAACTCATATGAGAAAAACATATTTTGCTATATAAAAAAAATAAGAAAGCGGTGGTAAAGTAATAACTATGTAGAAATGAGAAGTAACAGCTTGAAAAATTATATGATGTTTTATATCATGAACGACGTCCTGTTACGATAATTTCTGACAAAGGCATCAATTGTTTATATTACTATGTACATAATGCGAGTGTGATGTGTATTTTATTTTATGTTGTGTATTCATTTGTTTGTATTATATTTTGTCTACAAACATTCTTAATTTGTGCCATTATAATTCATTCCATTGATGTGGAAATTTTATCAACTGTTTGCAGGTACTGTTCTTTGATAGTCTGCAGTTCTTACCAAAAAAAAGTGAGGGCGTCCTTGTAAAGATGGTGTATTTTTTTCTATAAGGAGAATATAATATTTTAAAACCACCTACACATTTTTTCTAATGCATTTCCTCAGATCATCTTTTTTTTAATATTTTCATTATGTAATATTTCACCTTCATGTGTAATATTGATTATTTTTCTTGATAAACCAGTCATATTTGTTTGCTATTTATTAAGTTGGTATTTTTATGGATTAAGTTGTGATTCAGTGTTTTGTTGATTAATTTCTAATCACAAATTGTTTTTAACATTCTACTCATACCATTGCTGAACAATTCCAGTTGTCAAATAATAATTTGAATAAATTCATCCAAAAACAATGAACAAACAATAATAAACAATAATAATTATAATAGAACTTCGGATCATCATAATCTTTATGATTATAATTATTAACTATGATGATGAGGAGTTATGATATCAGAATTAAGATGATAATCATGGTTATGATCATGTGTTATTATGATTCTTATTATCATTTGTACATCACATGATTAAAATTATAGGTTATTATCAAAAGTTATTATTTTCATGATACAAAATATGTATTATCATGATGATCGCCATGCAGTTATGTTATGATCATCATGAGTTATTATGATTACGATGACCATATGTTATGATGATAATAATCACATGTTATCTTATTGTGTTATTGTGATGGATAATTGTCATCGACAGCAGCATAACAAATAATAGTTAAGATGTTTATAATATTGGTAGGGAAGACAAATGTGATGTCTTTGATTGATGATCATGATAATTGAGACACAATCTATGCATATGCCTCACAAGTCCTTTGTTTGAATATAGACTAAGATCATAATCACTGCAGCCATGTCTGTCTTGTTTAATCTGTAAGTATCAAGAATATTTACAATGCATTGTGGAATTGCATCAGGTATGGCAAAAAATAATTCGGTCATGTAACACGTATCTTATCTCCAGTTTACTGTCTAGTCCTACAAACAAAAAGTATGTCCTGTTACATTCCACATAACTTGTCTCAGTTGTAGCATTATGTAGGACTGGTGTCATCCTCTTTCTTTTAAGTGTGGCTGTCACTTTGGCCATTTTGTATTCAGAAAACGTTTTAAGTGAACATGAAGACATCACCAATTTAACACCTCGTTCTCACAAAAGAAGAGTTTTTACACGTAATATATAAATATGTGACCCTCCACTACATAATCAAGTATTGTTGCACCTCATGTCAAATTATGATAATAGCTAAAATATTAGTTTGATATATCTGACAAATACTGTAGATAATAAGTAATCTATGAAGCAAAAGTTCTAGATAGAAAAATTGAGAAAAAATATTTGAGAATAATCACATGTAAATTTTGACTTGTTATTAATTCTATAGAAAGATGCAGCCCTTGTGCTAGTAACTAGGACTTTACATTGATCTTACTGAAACCAAGTGACAACCTCAAACCACACTGAAGAATTACAACAAATGAAACAATTCATATTTACTTTCAGAAATACGTACAGCCTCAGCATTAAAATTTGTCACTAATAGAAGGGAGACATAATAAAATAAAAAATTTATATTTTTATCTAGTTTACAATATATCTATAGTTGAGGCTGTTCTCATTGAGAGGTTTGGAGCAAATTGAATTATAGAAGATTGTCCTGCACCAAGATCTCACCCATTAACATTTACTATATGTACAACCGGTCACTCGCTGCAACGTACTCGTACGACAATCCAACTCCAATCCCTATGTATTACACTCGCAAAAATTATGAATGAAATTTTAACCAATTTTCAGTTGTATTTTGGTGTATCTTGTTTTACATTTTTGTGTTATACTTGTTGTACATTAAGGATCATTTGTATAATGTTCATGTTAAAACTGTTTAAGATTGTGTTATGTATAAAATTTTGATTTACTCAAATCAATACAGAATACAATTAATTATTAATTAAACCACTAATATAATATTTTAGAGATATGTATGCATAAATTAATTAATTTAAAACTAGATAAAGTGTAAACTTCATGACAACATTTATTTTTTTATTTTGTCTAAAATTCATGGCGTGTTCACTTGTATAAAATGAATTCCAAGTTTAGTAAATGAGGATTGTTTAGAATTTTTTTTGTGAAATTTAAGTTCAGGTGTTGAACCAAGGATGCAATTGTTGTGTAATTGATGAACTTTATATAAAATACATATATGTAAAATTTTAATTCCATTCATATATGTATTGGTTATCTAATATATATTATGTTAATTCTTGTAAGTATAAAGTTAATGTATGCTATTAATACATATTTTGTTAATGTGTGTTATGTAATATATATTAAGTATTTTATAATATAATGTATGTTGTATGTTGTACAATATACATTATGTTAATATATTTTACATAATATATATATTGTTGCATGTATTTTATGCCATGTTTATTAAATCATGTATGTATATTATTATTATAATTGGAGATGTATGTGACCGAATGTAGGTGGTAAAATAAAGATGGTTGATGTTTGTTGAGGATATGCAATATTATGTATACATACACGTGATATAATAGGTAATAACACTTGCACATACATTCTCTGAGGTATATTTAATGAGTATCTGCATTGCCCATGCGTATATAACAAATGTGATTCCAGATTTATTTATTTTTTATGATTATAATGACCAAATGGCCATTTTGCCCTCAATTATGTTCACAAGATTGAAAAAAAAAACATTTTATAAAACATTTGTGACAGGCTGTCAAAGCATAAGTGCACCAGCCGAATTTCAATTGCTATTACTGTACAAATAAGCAGTTTTCTGTTGCATTTTTTTTTTTTTTCTTGCAATAGAAAACTTAATTTCTAAACTGTTTTAATGAATTTGTTTTATGTGAGAAGATGATAGTCGTAATGATTGTAAAACACCGCAGTTTGTGTTTGCCTTGCGAGACACATGTATATCTAGTAATTTTAGAATGTATCTATACATAAGCATTTTTTAGCGAGGGAATGTGTGTGTAAACGTGCTTGTCTGCGTGTGTGTGTCAATTAATTCACTCGTAAAATATTGAATTCAAATTGATTTGGAGGCAAGAAGATTAGAAAGGTTCTTGGAGCATAATTTGCATCGTGTATGAAATGTAAAACCTCGGTAATTCTAATTTTTATAGGTAGTAAATTTTAAAGTTGTCTAGATTGCTTATGGACTTGTATTTTAGACAGCCTTAAAAACTACAACAATTCACCACACACATCTTCGCGTGTAATTTTCACGTGTCGATGTGTGTAATTTGTATGTGTCTATTTGGCTTGCAAAATCTGTATGTAATTTTGTTGAATCTTCATGAAAAATGTACAGATTTTACTTACCGGTAGGCTTTGTTTAAGTAAGGAACCCAATTTACATGGCAAAATTCAATGCACCTGTGCCCAACTTCTTCCACGTAAACTGGGTGTTCTTGCTCGAGTGTCCCTGTCAGGGCAGTACATAGTTATCTACACCATGTGTGGCTAATAAATTATGTATTGATGTACATGATGTAAATATATTCAAAAGGATACATTACCGATGATATACCACCTCCATTATATTTTTTTTTTCTGTTACAATGTTCTGATACATTTATTATCTAGTACTGTATATCATTTCAATCGATTTATTAATTACTGTGTTTTTTAATACACCACCTCCAGATCTAATAAAATGCCATCAAAATGGTTGTATATAACCTGTTAGATATTTCTTTTGTGTTTTATTATTTATTATGTGTTGCAAACAAAGAAGTTGCAGTTACGATACATCATATTCATGTGAACACTCTAACGACGTGGTAAAACGCGCGTGTAGCCTACTGGTATTTGAAAACAAAGTTACGAGCTTCATCGCCAAATCAAAACAGTGGGAATTTTTAAGAAGCGCAAGGCCTAATGGTGAATGCGAGATTCATTGTGACGTCAGCTTGTGCTGGAATACCCTCTTGTTTCCATTAGTGTATTAACACAAACAAAAAAAAAATGTTGAAAAATTAAAATGGAAGATTACATACAAAACTAATCTCTAACATCCCATTTTCTGAGCATTGAAAGTTCAAATACACTTTGTTTCACAGTGTATTGTTCTGTTATAGCCTTTGAAGGCATTATGTGGTCTGTAAACAATATAAACAGCGGAAGAGCAATTCTGTGGTACATCTACAATTAGAATTTGTATTTTTTCGTTCTGAGAATTGATTAAAGGACGAAAGAGTGCATTACTGCCTAAGTGATTCACACCCTTGCGCATGCTAAAATGCACCTAGACGCCGTGACGTTACTCCATATTTTATCACAAAACAACATTGAGTTTAACCGGAAGTAGGACACTAACTGGCAAACTTTTGCAAAAGTTACAGCATTTGCGCCTGGTTTGTGTAGCCATAACATCAAAATATGAAAGTATTGATGATCTAAAAAATTTACTGTGCTGGCATTCGCACATTCGCCCTAAATATTACATATTTTAGTTTCAAACATTTTGTTTATTCTTTGATTACGTGCAGAAATTAAATGAAAATGTACTCAAGATTGATTTCACCAGTAAATCTAGCTTACAAAAATATGTACGTAAACATAACAGTCATAGAATGGACTGTAAAAGATTAACGTTACGAAAATCTACTGTTATTACCCTATCAATTAAAATGACCATTGTTCATTCTGTTCTTGAATCCACAGACTATAATGAACTTTCAGATTCTGACACAGTTCATGGTGTCACCGGACTTAAATGACCTGACTATTGTGTATTGATTAATAATACAGTTCTAGCAGGTTATTTTTTTATTGTAAATTTTTGTGTATATTTGGTTATATCGGCCCACATAAGTTTTTTGATATATTTATATATATATATATATATATATATACTGTCTCTTATACACATCTAGATGTGTATAAGAGACAGTATATATATAGATTAAAAGGCAGAATACTGGAAAACAACAATGCTGTGGGAAACAATGGCTGGATCTCAGTAGAGATACAAAAATGATAAGCAACAGCTAAAAAGTAAACGTAAGTAAACAGCCAGCCGTAAGTAAATACCACACATAGGCTAGGCCTGTTCACACATAGGCCTGTTGTATATTAATAATAATGCTCACAAAATCTTTTCCAAATATCTGTCTAAACATCTTGAATCACACAGGGATTACCTACACCATTAGCGATATGTATACATATTCTATTTTTATGCATTTTGATTCCCCCGGTCATGGCCTACGACTTTTGATATTAAATATGCAATGCTTTTGGAATTGCATATCCATGCAAGTGCTGACTACAGAAATATTTAGCATGGCTTATAAATATTTTTAATGACACATTACGGTACACAAAGGCATCATAAAATTCGCGAACGTGCGTAGGCCTATGGTATTAATTTTATAGTAAACATACTGTGAATCGTGGCATTTATCGATCTGAAGTAAGAAAAGTAACGTAAAGTGAATATGAATATCAGTTTGCTCTACAGATGTGATCAAAATACTATTATACATGGCTCTAAATTTTCTGTTACAAGTAAACTGTTATTATTATTTGAACAATTTAGACACGGAATAGGTGCCTTCATTTATATATTATTTATTAATCTATTTATTAATTCTGTATACTTACGTATTTTTATTACTTTATATCGCATTTTAATATATCATTCTAAATTGTTGATGTAATAAAATGTATAAACATAAACAAATTATGTGTGAGCCTATTGTCTTTTCTTGTTTATTGTCATGTCTGATGTCTTGTTCTGTGTGAAGACTGCAACTGAACTCCGCCTGGCCCTTGCGGTAAAATAATAATAATATAACTTATGAAATAGTTATGGCACTCAGTTTTATTTTATTTTACATGGGTATTGCCTAACATAATGAAACTTTTTAATTATAGGCCTATAGGAATGTTTGATGCATTCCGGGTGCATATGCCTGCGCCCACTTCTCTGACACTCAATGTATCCATTGTTTCACTTTTCGCGGCCATGTGTGTCGAATTTGTAATAAATACTTAAAATAAATTGATTATTATGTGAAACACTGCTTCGGCGAAAAAGACGAGTTGGGCAGCACTAGGCTAGGCCTACGACCAGGATAACGATGATGTTACATCATGCTATGTTTAACATCATGTTAACAAATAAACAAAAAGTAGGTCTAATGTATTCCACAACGTTGCACGTGGCACACGAAGCAGTGTATGGATTTACAGTTTTATAAGGATTATATTAAACGTGAGTTACCGTTTTTAATAACAGGTACAGTATCATTTTATTCGGAATCATCCTATTCATCATTAACGTTTTTTCCTATATACTATTTTATAGAAGAATTTTATTTCAGCATACTTCAATATTATATTTCAAAGTCTATTGAAAATTAAGTAGGCCTACACTCACGACGCAGTTTATTATTAATCTATAGCTGGCATTTCCATGAGTTATACAGCATATTGGTTTTGTTAATTATAACGGATTATATTCGTCTGAAAAAAAATTCTATATGCCTTGGTTGATTCAATAATGAATGCACAGATTGAATGTGCCTGTTTTGTAATACAGGCCTAATGTGTTTCTCTAACCGCATTTTGTAATGGGTCGAAACATTTAGAACAATTTGTTTTCGTGAACTATGGCCGACTTCCTTCCATTTATTGTGATGTTTTCTGTTGATGTTTGTCACACAGGAACATGCATTAAAATATTACCTGTTTTATATGTTGACAGTAAACGTATGTTTCATGTTTAATAGGGGATAGTATAGGTCAAGCAAAACTGTGATGTGTTAGGTATCTTTTTTATCGGAGAATAATTTGTTCAGATTTAGGCATCCCTTTTATCGTAGTGATTTAACATTCAGATCAGACAGGTGCACGTGCACTCACAGTCTTGGACTTTAAATATACTATAGAGGGCGCATCACTAATTTCACACAGAGACTACCATGCTTGTTGATCTATTTACCCTACAAATTGAAGAAACGATTGTAAGAATCGATCAACTGAAGTATAAATATATACGGGTAAATAGTCAATTAATTCGTCCGGTTTACGTCGCGCATGCATGTTTACATGAAATATCGGTCTGTAACATGGACAGAAGTACACATAAAAGAAAGGTTTGGCTTCTTTATTGAGTATCCGCTTTTGACGATCATCGTTTGTAAGGCCTAACTTGTTAAACTTTGGGAAAACTTACGTAACTGGGCCTCCAAGCCTAGATAGGTAGGCCCTAGGCTAGGCACCTTTTTTTTTAAATTGAAGCCCACATTACGGTGCAACAAGTACGAGTACGACGTATTTTACTCAAGAAAGGAAGTGATCATACACAAGCCTAGTCTAAAAACTCTGGGTTGCTTTGTATCTGATTTATTTTCTTTCTCTATGATCTGATGGAAATTGAATATCTGTACACTAAAGAAACTGACTGATCATTGAGCAAAACCATGGAGGTATTGTAGAGAAGAAGGCAAAAGGAAATTTATTATTTTATATTTAGCAATAACAAATTTTTATAATCCTGTCACTCCTGTCAGGTCCGAAGTTAGTGATCTGCATGGGCGTAGGGTGGACGGAATTCTCAATTTCCACAAATCATCTCAATTAGTCTTGTCCTATTAGAATGTTTAGTAAATATTGAAGGCATCTATTTTTCCAAGAAATATTAAAATTGAACGAAGTGTTATGAAAGAATTTTTCTACATCATATTATTAGAAAAAAGAAGGAAAATAAACAATTTATTTAATTTATATGTCCTTATGTTAAATATGTAAGTGTGCATAATAGTAGTAGTACAATCACTCATATTTTACAGTCAACAACAAGATATTTTGTTGACGAAAAAGCTGGTGATCTTAATGAGGATGAAGATAATAGAAGTGAAGAAGAACAGGTAGCAAATGAAAGTGTGGAAAAATGGAAACGAGGAAGCACAATTAAAGACAAATTCCCTGGACCGGCCCCAATTGATGAAGAAAAACTAAAGAAATATAAACGTGGAGAAAGAAATGAATATGTAAGATAATATTAGTAATCAAACTATGATAATTTAGTATGTTTTTAACATTTTTTTATTATTATTTTTACTTTGCTTGAAAAAACTCACTAATTACAGTTATTTATCTGAGATGAATCTTAAATATTTTTGTGTAGAAATTTATGTTTTTTTATCTATTGTTACTTTTTATGTTGAGCAAAATGAGGTACTTTTGTATTTGGCGCTATAAGCTGACATTCATATTCACTAGGTATATTACTATGTAGTAATATATGGTAGGATAACATGCCAAGAAGAGACCTATATTGGGAAAATGAGCACTTTTTAAGTACGAGTATGAGATTAATCCTTGAATGTTTTTGTTGGAATCAAACTCATTTTGTGTATGATTGTTGATCCTCTATCCCATGACCAGTGGAAATAAAACCATACAAAACTAATAAATAAATAAATAAGTAAATCAATTTGTATTCAAATGAGAAATATTTATCTAAATTTTCAGAAACATTTACGGGATAGGAAACAGAAACGAATCATCAGAAACGAGGAACGTAAAATGAAACAGGCTGCAGAAGAAGCCGCCAGGGCTGAGTTACTACTCACAGAGGAGGCTGGGTAAAATTTAATTAGTAGTTTTTTGTGATAATCCTAAATATTAAGTAGTCTACCTATCAAATTAAAGGACAGAGGAAGTACTATTTATATGTTCAATAATTGGCAAGGCAATTATTTCCCATTCTTATTTTCAATTGAATGCTAATTATATACATAGTTATATGTAGGTCAGTATATACAGTACAGCCTTTTATAATTATTGGCTCAAATCATTAAAATTTAAGCTTATGGTATTGTGGAGCTGAAAATTATTATTGTGTGATTAAGTTCACATTTGATTTCCACCCACACAAGCATTAAAGGTGAAGGTAGTCCCATATTTAAAATGTTGTTATTCCCCTTAGGTTCTTAGAAGCAGATGAAGGGGAAGAGACCTCAAAAATTAGTCAACACGAGCTGGCCAGGAATGTAGACATAACAAGTGCCCAAAAGGTATTATTAATGGTTTATCATTGTTATTTCGCTTAAAGAAAAAGTACAGTATGGTGTTTTAGAGAAAAAATACAATTACACCAAACTAATTTGAAATATTGGAGCAGACTTGGAGACTTATAACTTGACATGAATGATTAAAATGTTTTTATATTTCAGGGGCGGATCCAGAGACGTCCGAAAGGTGGGGGGGGTCCCAAAAGTGGGGAGGCCGATCGACACAACACTAATCTGGGTGGGCGAAATTTTTGTTTTGTAGATGCCTGAATATAACCTTGGAGGTGTTTTGGGAGATCAATTATTTCTTTTTTTCTTTTTTTGACTTTCCAAAACGTGGGGCTGGGGCTGGACAGGGTTCCCCACCCGAAATCCTCCCCTGTATTCAGTTCATTTTTTAGAGACTACTACAATTTCTGAAGTACATCACTTTTTTCTTTATGTCCTCTCAGTATTTTGAATTAAAATTAGACCAATTTGGACCATATCGACTTGACTATACTCGTAATGGTAGACAGCTTTTGATTGGTGGGCAGAAAGGTCACTTAGCATCAATTGACTGGGTCACAAAGAAACTTCTTTTTGAGATCAACGTCATGGAAAGTATACGTGAAGTCCAGTAAGTTTAAAAATTGTTTTGAATATATTTTTATCAATGAACAATGAGAATTTCATCTGATATATAAATAATGGGAACCAGTCAGTTGGCCCCTTAGCAAACTCTCCCTTTGACAATTTTGTAGGGGGAAAGTTTGTCAGGGTGCTGGTTTGTTAGGAGTCAACTTTGTAGGGGGGGACTTTTTCAAGGAGGCAAGTTTGTACGGGGCCACTTTGTAGGAAGAAACTTTCTTAAGGAGACAATTTTGTAGGGGAAAAGATTGTAAGGTGTTAGTTTGCCAGGGGGGTGAGTTGACTAGAATCCATAAATATGTATATATTAGTTTTTGCATCTCAATTTGAACCCATGACCTCTTTTTAAAGATTTATAGGTTAAAAAAAATAATAATAAATTATTGTGCTGGTTTGTTAGGAGTCAACTTTGTAGGGGGGGACTTTTTCAAGGAGGCAAGTTTGTACGGGACCACTTTGTAGGGAGAAACTTTCTTAAGGAGACAATTTTGTAGGGGAAAAGATTGTAAGGTGTTAGTTTGCCAGGGGGGTGAGTTGACTAGAATCCATAAATATGTATATATTAGTTTTTGCATCTCAATTTGAACCCATGACCTCTTTTTAAAGATTTATAGGTTAAAAAAAATAATAATAAATTATTGTGCTGGTTTGTTAGGAGTCAACTTTGTAGGGGGGGACTTTTTCAAGGAGGCAAGTTTGTACGGGACCACTTTGTAGGGAGAAACTTTCTTAAGGAGACAATTTTGTAGGGGAAAAGATTGTAAGGTGTTAGTTTGCCAGGGGGGTGAGTTGACTAGAATCCATAAATATGTATATATTAGTTTTTGCATCCCAATTTGAACCCATGACCTCTTTTTAAAGATTTATAGGTTAAAACATAATAATCAATTATTGTGCATTATGATATTAAAGATAATGATTGCTACTCCTTTATTTTTTAGGTGGCTGCATCTAGAGACCATGCTCGCTGTGGCACAGAAGAAGTGGCTGTATATATATGATCACCAAGGCACTGAGTTACATTGTGTTAAAACCTTTAATGATGTACTGAAGATGGAATTCTTACCTTATCATTTCTTGTTGGCTGCTTCAGTAAGTAGTGGTTTAATAGTGATGGATGGTGGTGTTGATAGTAATCTTTGTGGTGAATACCTTGGAGTATGGGAATATGCTTTTAGACACCTACCTGGACTGAAATCTGGGGCCAGATTTATCAAACTAGAAATCAGCTTAAACTCGTCTTAAGTCCATTCTTGAATGCATGTTCTCGTGCCACCACTGGGTGATGGGTCAAATAATGACAAGGCGATACCTGAATTGTTTTTTTGTTTTTTTCTGTTTTGCTCTTTAATTCAATATCAACATTTGTGTTTAAAAATATCATGTATAATTTTTAGTCTTTATTTTATTTAATTGCAGAATTCTTTTGGATATCTCAAATACTTGGATATCTCTGTTGGAAAAGAAATTGCAGGTTACCAAACCAAATGTGGACGTCTGAACGTAATGACACAGAATCCTTACAATGCCATCGTACATATGGGGCACCCTAATGGTCAGTGGAGTTAGTATACATTTGAGCATGGCAGTTCCATTTAGTCACATGATAATTTGACTGTCAGCCCGAACAAATTTTGTTATTTGTTGTAGGTAGCTCATGTCTTCCAGTTAGCTAAAAATAGCTAGTGGAGCAGATGTTGATAGGAAACGTAGATTGACGATTTAACTAATATCATTTGAAAATGAATCATTCAGAATTGTTTTTTTGTTTTTGTTTTGTTTCAGGAACAGTAACAATGTGGAGTCCCAATATGAAGGAGCCACTAGCGAAAATGATCTGCCATCCTACAGCTATCCGTTCAGTTGCCATCGATTCCAAAGGACTGTAAGTTCATGGGGCGGATCCAGAGAAAATTCTGGGTAGGGGTCATGAGATGTGCGAAGCAATAAGCGGGGTGGGGGTGTGTGGTGTTTAGAAATGCCTGAACATAAACACTGGTACATGGAATTTAAATCAAAGCCCACTGGCCAAGTATCTATGCTTTTATGTTCTGTTAATTTTTTCTATCAGATACATGGCTACATCAGGACAAGACCGTATTCTTAAGATATTCGATATCAGAACATACAAGCCACTCCAGGCCTACAAGATTGGGCTGGGTGCCTCAGAGCTGTCCTTCAGTCAGAGAGGTCTTCTGGCTGCAGCTGTTGGTAATGTTGTTGAGGTGAGACCCAGGCCCAACCTCCCAAACATTTTTTTTTTCTGGTTTACACAATGCTTGGTAGCCTTAATCTTGCATATTATTTTAAGAGTTTTATTTTGAGAACAAAGATCATTATCATCACTGTAAATGTTATAATTAGCTTCTTTATTTTATTTTGTTGAGATTCAGATTTCTTTATTCACTTCAACTGGCAGTAAAATACTGAATTGCAAGAAGTTTACAATAAAATAAAAATGCATAATTAAATTGTTTTCTTAAAATACAATATTGAAAATTGAAAAACACACAACACCACAGAATTGAAACATTGAAATCTTATCTAACACATTAAGACGGCAAAACTGAAAAGATAACATTACACAAAAAAGGAAATTCAAAGCAAACAAAATTTGGAAACTGTTATTGCAATTTGATTACTATTATTATAATTATTTTTAAAATTTATTGTGGAGTATAAAAATATAAACCAACGACCCACATTATTTATAACTATGTTTTATTTTGAAAATATTCTTATTGTACAAATTATTATATTTTTGAAATGCTGTCTATATATTGATGGAATAATAGCCTTTGATAGTTTCAGGAAGCAAGAAAATTGAATACATTGTAGTGTATGTTATATTATTCCACACAGGTATACAAAGATTGCTGTACAAGTGCAGTGGACAAAGCATACATGACCCACAGGTGTACATGGCCAATCAGTGACCTCAAGTTCTGTCCATTTGAAGATGTTATTGGTTTAACTCACTCAAAAGGCTTCTCAAGTCTGCTTATACCAGGTAGGTTTGTACATCATTCCTGATGATGACATAATTAATGTCGAAATATTGAATCCCGACACGATGACATGCATTTCTATACTTGGAGTATGTATTATACTATCTTATCTGAGATTAATCCGTAGACCTTTCGGTTTTTAGGTTTGTACAAATTAAAGAAAACTACCCTATGACCATATATGGTATAATATAAAGCAGTTATCATCATCATTGCCAATAATGTTGATTTGTTTGAATATAAGTAAAAATGTATAATCCATTTTTTTTATTTAATTAATAAGTGAATTTTATTTTATAATTATATAATTATTTTATAATTATGTATATTATTTCATTTTAATGATGAACTTAATTACCAAAGACTAATGTGATCAAATGAGTAAGTTATGTACAGTAATTAGCTATTTACCAATGTATTGCTGCTACCGCTGTGTTGGATTCTAGGTGCTGGTGAACCTAACTTTGACAGTTTAGAGGCAAATCCTTATCATTCTAAACGACAGCGACAGCAGTGGGAGGTGAAAGCATTACTGGAAAAGGTAATTTAATTGCAATTTATAGTCAATTTCATTTTTTATACCGTGTGGGAGTATAATATTGCATATTTAAGGTTGAATTGAAGTGATAATTTTGATGTTCGCCCCCACATTGAAGCGTGAAAACAGAGTGTAATGTAATATAGAGATATATAAATAGTATAGTCTGTTTTGCCAAGGGATACAAGATAATTTGAAAGTATTTTTAGTGAAGGAGTCTAGTTTATGCAACTTGAACTCACAAGATTTTGAACTAAACTTCCGAGAAATCCACTTTAACTTATGAGAATGCTTCTTGAAACTGATGTTTATGCATCTCCTCTTTAACCTACAAGTACTTACAGACAATTAGAACATAATAATGTACATGGGACTATTTACATACAATCTTGAAGATGCCACTCGTGAAAATGCTACTTGTAACTGATGCATAGAAGTACTTTCGGACACTTAGAACACATGTACAACAATGTACCTGGGAGGGTGACTTTAACTGATGAGACGTCACTTGAACTTGTATGAATGTCACTAGAAACTGATACGGAAATAAACAAATCATTACTTAGGTTTCGTAACCTTTACAAAAACCATGTCAACTATGTAACATTGATTTTGTTATTCATTTCTACAAATATTCTGTTTTGATCTTAAAATTCATAACAAAAATGTTAGTGCTCATCTAGGCCCAAGTATACTTGAATGTTTTGAATGATTTTTATTTCTCTTTTAATTTGACAGATCAAAAAAAATATACTGTTGTATGACCATATATAGTCATGATGTGCCTATATATGGTCATGATATGATGTCATTATGACCATATTTAGGCATAGCACATTTTTTGTCAAATAAAATTTAATATCTGTATAGGGCTTATGATTACAAGATAAGTAATTCCAATATTTCCTTTTTTGTTCCATTTAGCTTAAAAAAAAAAGACAGTATATATTTAAATTAACATCCATGGCTAATGTTTTTGAAATATAAATGGAGAATGCAAACTGATTCATTATTTCATTTATAATTCTACAGATTCAACCTGAACTGATTAGTCTGGATCCTGGTAAAATTGGAGAGATGGACAAAGTGACAATGGAACAGAGATTCAAAGAAAGGAGAGAATACCTAGTGAGGATTATTTTATTCAGCTATTAGGCACAAAGATATGCCAAGCAGTTAATCACTCTTCAAGGTGGCAATCCTGTCACAGGAGAAACATTCACACGAATGCTTTACATAGACCAAGTCTCATTATGAAGCTTAGGAAGTGGAGTTGTTTTGGTCAAGGGCATATCTGGAGATGTCCAAAGGTGGGGGTGTGGGCCCTGAAAGTGGGACTGATTGAGATAAGTCTACCTTAGGGAGTCTGGGGGAATTCCCTGCACAATGTTTGTGTTCTAGACACCCGAATATAATCTCTGAGGCATTTTGGCCCCCCCCCCTCTGAATCCGCCCCTGTTGGTCTTGAGAACAAATCCTATTACCATGACAGGAATTGAACCCAGGACCCTGGGATTGGAAAGCAAGCACCTTAACCACCAAGATATTCAGCACCACTCCAATACAGTATAATAATGATCTAGAAAAAGTGTATGCCTTCAGTTAGCAAAAATACTATTATTTGTATATATAATAAAGTAATAGTAGTTGTTATTATTATACTTATATTTCATATTAAAACCCAATTCCAAAGTCTCAATTATTTTGTTTCTTGTAGGGTTTTGAAGAAGATCGTAAAGGATTTGTGCCGAAGCACAGATTGAAGGGAAGAAGTTCAGCTGGAAACAGACAGCACAGGAAACAAAAGGTGGCCGATCATTTAGCCAGGGTTAGTGGAATTGATACTGAGCTCCGTTTCAAAGAGGCATGACATTAGTAAAGAGAGGTTAACTGATCAAATTATAATACACAGTGCATCTCTTAGAAGTGGAGATAGATTAGAGAGGTCTACATATTTTACGGCATTGTTTAGAGGAGGAGTGTGTGTTTTTTTCTTCTAAATGTAACAGCTTCTTTAAAAAAGATTTTAGTTTAAACAGCAGTCATTCACTTTAGTTTTGTTGTAAAATTATTATGTATATTTTTATTGCAGAATAAATTTATAGTTATTATTCCTATAATGTAAAATATATTAATTCCTAATGAACTTCAAATTTTTTTCTACAGCAAAAAATCAAAGCATCTATCAATAAAACAGAACAAAAACACAACAAAGATGAGGATAGCGAATACACATCAGCCCTTGATAGGTTCAAGAAGAAATAGTAGGACATGTACAGCATTGATATATATCAAAGAAAGTGAGCGATTCAAACTGGTTAATGACGAGGAGCTTACATAGATACAGTACAAAAGGAAGTCTTCAAAAGTGGTACCGCTCACCTGCCTGGGTTAACCTATCATCAGAGGCATATGGTGGGTTGGGGCTAATGAGAATGTGATGATTAAGTGAGAATGTGAGGGTTAAGTGAAATTCAGCTAGTTGGTGATAACTACTTGAGAGTACTTTTTTTCTCTTCAGACTTTTTCCTCAACAGTCAACTTTCGTGCAACCCTCTTCCATTAGATATGCCAATTCATATCATGCCAGACAGCCTCAGGAATCTAGTTACAAGAACTGGCAACATTGTCTTGGTGAGAAATAACTCAACATACCTGGGGCGGATTCCGGGGTACAGGCAGTGTGATCACACCCCACTAAATTGTTAAGAAAAATAATTGTTGTATTGCATTATTGATATATTATTTTTATCATTATGAACATAGTACTGGTAAGATTTTTAAAGTATGAGAGTGTGCAATTTACGGGCACTTAGGTCCATATTCTAAAAATTATCACACCTCAGCCCCAACCTTATTGGGGCTGACGTGGTGTCGACTCTCACGCACACCCCCTACCACCAAAACCCCCTAACACCAATTCCTGCATCTGCCCCAGCATACATGGGCTATATTACTAAAAAGAAAACAATTGGACTAAATTATTTTACACATGTGATTATTTACTCCCAGTATTACCAGGTGTCTGCAAGGCAGCTTGCAACTTGATGCTATAGATCAATGATATTTTTTCCAAATACAAAGTTTTGCTTTGGTAATTTAAATTTATATTTTGAAGCTATGTTTTACATGGAAAAACATTCACTACGAAATGGTGAACTATTTAGTGATATGAATGGGAGTAATTTTTTTTAGCATGATTATCTGTATGTGTACTGATATGCTAAAATAAATAATAAATATACTTCTCAAATAAAATCAAAGTGTTTGGTTTGGGTTTTTAATCCTGCAGTCTTACTTGATATATAATACACTACATACATATACACACACATTTGTATATAGACACATGATAGTAACTTTAGTATTAAGATACAGTTTCATTGGTGATAATTAAAGATGACAATGAATATTTGAGAATCATTACATATAGGCACATACACCATAAATTATTTGATAGAAATCCTTGGTCACTATTCCCTTCAGTTTTTAGGGTGGATTACAATTAAGTATGGGTATTAATAGAGTAAGGCCTACTACAGGGTATATTCCATTAAGTCAAATACAATTGATGCACTTGTTGCATCATCATCTTTTCGACCATTATCAGTTCATCGGTAGATGAAAGCACATAGTAAAAACATGTTGCCAAAGAGTAAACCGTTGTAAAAAGGGTACATCAACGCTGAAAACCTATGCGAAGAAGGCAGCTTGCAACTGGACAAACTTTACCATACCATTACATAACATCACTCCAGCGTCAGTACATACACCCAACTGGACACATGAACAAAGCGACACAACACCAAACCCTATAATTGTCATTTATTTACTTAAGGCCAACTCAGACAGCGTTGGCCGACGCAGCCCGACGCGATTTGTTGTCGCGTCGGGTCTGTGTGAGTTGAACAGACGCGACGGTGTGCGTCGGGGGCAGTCGCGTAGTAGAATATTAAACGTGTTTAATATTTCTCACGACGGCTTAAAACTGTCCCCCGACGATAAATCGGGTCGGGCTGCGTCGGCCGACGCTGTCTGAGTTGGCCTTTAGATGGCTAAACAGACTCGGGACCAGCTTACCTAGTCAAGTTACCTCTGGGCCCTGTGTAAACATTTTAAATATAAAACATTTTAATTCAGTAACTCTGAAAGCACAATTGAAACACTTTGGTATGCTAAAACCATGTCTAGATATAAATAATAAAGTTTGTCAACATTTGCAGAGAACAAATAAGTAAGTAATAACAATATTGCTCAGATAGGAACATAAGATGTTATCGTATCACACATATCACTTCAATATATCAATGATATTCATATAAATATACATATCTAATATGTATATATATATATATATACATATATATATATATATATATACATATACATATACACATATACATATATATACATATACACATATATATACATATACACATATTCACATATATAAATATATATATATACATTAGTTATACATATACACCCACACACATATATATATATATATATATACATACACTACTTTACTTTACTAACTTCAAGGCCGTGAGTCCACACCCACCTCTGTCCCATCATGGTTGAGGAATAATATCTCAACATGGCCGGAATATATAACACTCTTATAGGCCTAGAGTAAAATTCATCATCATCACATCACCACGATCTTTTATCTGCAATTTTCGGCAATAGTATAGATCCTGTCTCTTATACACATCTTATATATATATGATATACATATATACATATATCATCAATATATATATATATATCTATATATGTATGTATATCATATATAAATATAAAAACATATATAAATATGAATTTGTGGAGTTGGATATATTTCCGGGAGATTCCTGCTTGCTTGCAGGAGTGCTGGAGACCGTCTTCATAGCCGTCGGAAACATTTTGCAAGTATTCCGGCCATTATAAGAGCGGGATGGGGGAGAGCATACTCACCTCAGCCCAACCATTTTTGGGATGAGGTGCGAAAATGTGAGGAAATAATAGATGGCAGAAAATGACACTCAGTAAAATCCATCATCACATCACCATTATAATCAAAATAAAGCGCCAACAAATTTCTCTTTTATCATCGATTTTCGGCAACAATAGAGATCATTGGTATGTGTGATGAGACTATAGAAAATAAGACATTAAAACACCGTTTTTGATGTATTTATTTATTTATCACGTCAAAGATAAAATGTGAGTTCACACCCATCTCAACCTCACCATGGTTGGGGCTGAGGTGCGAAAATTGTGGGAAATAAATAGTACCTCTAGATGGCGGAAGACAATTTTATATAGTAAAATTCGTCATCATCACATCACCATTATAGTAATTGGGATGGACTTCGGCCTAATGGGCGTTCCTGATGCTCATTACGGTAATTTTTACTTTTCTTGATCTCAATCCATTTGTTATGTTGCTTATGCATGTTAAGCATCGAATAAATAGACAATTTTATATAGTAAAATTCGTCATCATCACATCACCATTATAGTAAAAATGAAGCGCCAACAAATTTCTTATGATCTTTTATCATTGATTTTTCGCAACCATAGAGATCTAATGCGTGATGTACCATAGAAAATAAAACTTAAAAACATTGTCTTTGATGTATTTTACTTTACTTTACTTTACTAACTTCAAGGCCGTGAGTCCACACCCACCTCTGTCCCATCATGGTTGAGGAATAATATCTCAACATGGCCGGAATATATAACACTCTTATAGGCCTAGAGTAAAATTCATCATCATCACATCACCACGATCTTTTATCTGCAATTTTCGGCAATAGTATAGATCTAATTAACTTCTGTATTGTACCATAGAAAATAAAACTTAAATTAGATTGCAAGTAATTAGAGCCGGCTTGACCATTAATAACTTTGTGTCACATAACAGCCTATACTGATTCCATCGGAGTCGTGTTTTTTAAAGTCGATTCTTATCCTACAATCACTAACATAATAATAATTATCGACATCATCATCACATCATCATCATCATCGCCATCATCATCATCATCATCATCATCATATTCACCACCACCACCATTATTATTATTATTATTATTATTATTATTATTATTATTATTATTATTATTATTATTATTATTATTATTATTATTATTGTTGTTGTTGTTGTTATTGTTATTGTTATTTTTATTTTTATTATTATTATTATTATTATTATCATCATCATCATCATCATTAACATTTGCTAAGCTGAGATTGATAAATCCCGGGTCTGGGCCCCAGTAGCACATGTTGCTGTAAACTAAACATTATTTTTAACTTGAAACGCAACCAGCCTTGCTCATGTAATCCGAGTTACCGTAACTTATAAACTAACATCAACTCCCTTGTCTGACTCCACGACATTAATTTGCCGATCCAAACAAATATATTTTGATATCCAATTGTGGTAAAAAATCACATGGGCCATCCTGTACCGTAAGATTTCTCCCCATGAACCTCATCCTAGGGATTTTATTCCGGGACCCTGAACAAGGCTCTGTGTATCCCCTTGTTTTAGACCCCGATCAGAATTGTTGAACCCCCTATCGACATTTTTGTCATTTTTCCTGATTTTACGAACATTTTACTACAAAATCCTTAAATCGACACTACCAGCCAATTTGAGAGTCTATGTATAAATAAGAATATAGCACTGGTATAATTTAACTGTCTGTTAATTGACAGGAAAACAATTTTGTCATTCATATATTTAATTGTAAGTTTGTAACTTTCTTAAATATAATTATTTTCAGTTATGGAATATTGGACCTCATTGGAAATAGGATGGACTTAGGCCTAATGGGCGTTCCTGATGCTCATTATGGTAATTTTTACTTTTCTTGATCTCAATCCATTTGTTATGTTGCTTATGCATGTTAAGCATCGAATAAATTCAATCAATCAATCAAATGAAAAATGTTTGTATCAAGGTTATATAGTATTATGTTTATTGTTTGAATATACTGTATTTATGAATCTATATATTCATTTCTATCGAATAGTACACTTTAAAAAAATTTTATTTACCCATGACAATCGGAAAGCTAACCTAATTTGTTTGCGCTATTGCGATCTACTAGTCCTACCCAATGCATTGTATTTAATAATCAAATGGAATTATGCATTTCTTTTCATCTTATTCATAGTTACCAACCTGAGAGATTTGAAATGCGCGTGTGACTATACCAGTTTGCTGGGGGGTCCAAGCGGCAGGGGACCACCCTCTCCCCCCGACGCTCCGACGACCTGAGCATTTTTCAGCTGTTTTAAAACGATTTCAGGGAGTGTTTATTGATAATACAGGTACAAAAGCAAAAATATTATTAATAAAGCCAATTTGAGTTTCAATGTAAGCATATGTTTAATTTGAGCACCGGAACTATGTAGACTTACACAAACATTTCATTACTGATCAATTTTTAGTAACTTGTTAGTAAAATAAGTAGGGCCTTCAAGGAAATACTGTATTTATAGTTTTAATACAACCAATTTATTCTTATTTTAAATACATTTTCCGCTGAATTTGTGATAAATCGTTATCACGCATAGACTTGTTTTAAATGCTTGACAAATTTAGGATCACGCATGTGTTTCTGCAAAATGCGTGTTTCATCAAAAATCACTTTGAAATGCGGGACTGTCACGCACGATGCGAGACGGTTGGTAACTATGCATTTGGCTGGTCAGAGATTACAGTATCAATTTTTTTTTCAAATAAACGACCACTTTTGACCTATAGTCATTTTTCTGATGATATTTGACTTATGGTACCCAGAGATTATGTTTATTTGCGTTTTTATCAGGGAACAGTGAAATTTCACTGTTCCCTGATTTTTATAACTGAAATGAGTGAACTATTGTGGCATTATGTCTTAACAAATATTAGCTTATGATACCCCATGGGTTGGAGTTCGGTTGCAGAGAGCCTTTTTTAGGTTGTAAGTTGTATTTATGTTTTGGTGATATCAGTCTAATTAAAATGAGATGAAATCAATAAAAACAATTATAATAAAAGTAATATTAATTATCATTATTATCATAATAAATAATAGTTTTAATATCAATTCACATTAGTTTACATTTTACAAATCTTTATACTAATAAAGTGTTAAATTGGTAGACATGTTCTAGAAGAATACTGATAAGCACTTCATTATAAAATATATTGTTTAAAGTAGAAATAAACATGATACAAGTGGTAAACAAATCCTTAAACACATTGAAATTAAGTGATAAG